CCAACTGAATATAAATCAATCGACCATCTAGGTTGCGCGGTATTGGCACCAACTGAATATAAATCAATCGACCATCTAGGTTGCGCGGTATTGGCACCAACTGAATATAAATCAATCGACCATCTAGGTTGCGCGGTATTGGCACCAACTGAATATAATCGATCATCTATTTGCGGTATTGGCCATCTGAATATAAATCAATCGACCATCTAGGGTTGCGCATTGGCACAACTGAATATAAATCAATCGACCATCTAGGTTGCGCGGTATTGGCACCAACTGAATATAAATCAATCGACCATCTAGGTTGCGCGGTATTGGCAACTGAATATAAATCAACTGAATATAAATCAATCGACCATCTAGGTTGCGCGGTATTGGCACCAACTGAATATAAATCAATCGACCATCTAGGTTGCGCGCATTGGCACCAACTGAATATAAATCAATCGACCATCTAGGTTGCGCGGTATTGGCACTGAACTGAATATAAATCAATCGACCATCTAGGTTGCGCGGTATTGGAACCCACTGACTATAAAACAATCGACCATCTAGGTTGCGCGGTATTGGCACCAACTGAATATAAATCAATCGACCATCTAGGTTGCGCGGTATTGGCACCAACTGAATATAAATCAATCGACCATCTTGGTTGCGCGGTATTGGCACCAACTGAATATAAAACAATCGACCATCTTTGTTGCGCGGTATTGGCACCAACTGAATATAAATCAATCGACCATCTAGGTTGCGCGGTATTGGCACCAACTGAATATAAATCAATCGACCATTCTGAAGGTTGCGCGGTATTGGCACCCACTGAATATAAATCAATCGATCATCTAGGTTGCGCGGTATTGGCACCAACTGAATATAAAAACAATCGACCATCTAGGTTGCGCGGTATTGGCACCAACTGAATATAAATCAATCGACCATCTAGGTTGCGCGGTATTGGCACCAACTAATATAAATCAATCGACCATCTAGGTTGCGCGGTATTGGCACCAACTGAATATAAAACAATCGACCATCTAGGTTGCGCGGTATTGGCACCAACTGAATATAAATCAATCGACCATCTAGGTTGCGATCTATTGGCACCAACTGAATATAAAATCAATCGACCATCTAGGTTGCGTGCGGTATTGGCACCAACTGAATATAAAAAAAATCGACCATCTAGGTTGCGCGGTATTGGCACCAACTGAATATAAAAAATCGATCATCTAGGTTGCGCGGTATTGGCACCAACTGAATATAAATCAATCGACCATCTAGGGTTGCGCGGTATTGGCACCAACTGAATATAAAACAATCGACCATCTAGGTTGCGCGGTATTGGCACCAACTGAATATAAACAATCGACCATCTAGGTTGCGCGGTATTGGCACCAACTGAATATAAATCAATCGACCATCTAGGTTGCGCGGTATTGGCACCAACTGAATATAAATCAATCGACCATCTAGGTTGCGCGGTATCTAATCGACCATCTAGGTTTGCGCGGTATTGGCACCAACTGAATATAAATCAATCGACCATCTAGGTTGCGCGGTATTGGCACCAACTGAATATAAAACAATCGACCATCTGATCACCAACTGAATATAAAAACAATCGACCATCTAGTTTGCGCGGTATTGGCACCAACTGAATATAAATCAATCGACCATCTAGGTTGCGCGGTATTGGCACCAACTGAATATAAAACAATCAATCTAGATCTGAATATAAATCTCGAGGTTGCGCGGTATTGGCACCAACTGAATATAAATCAATCGACCATCTAGGTTGCGCGGTATTGTCACCAACTGAATATAAATCAATCGACCATCTAGGTTGCGCGGTATTGGCACCAACTGAATATAAAACAATCGATCATCTAGGTTGCGCGGTATTGGCACCAACTGAATATAAATCAATCGACCATCTAGGTTGCGCGGTATTGTCACCAACTGAATATAAATCAATCGACCATCTAGGTTGCGCGGTATTGGCACCAACTGAATATAAATCAATCTACCATCTAGGTTGCGCGGGTATTGGCATCCAACTGAATATAAATCAATCGACCATCTAGGTTGCGCGGTATTGGCACCAATATAAATGAATGAATATGAATATAAATCAATCGACCATCTAGGTTTTGCGCGGTATTGGCACCAACTGAATATAAATCAATCGACCATCTAGGTTGCGCGATATTGGCACCACTGATTCACCCAACTGAATATAAATCAATCTGTCATCTAGGTTTGCGCGGTATTGTCACCATCTGAATATAAATCAATCGACCATCTAGGTTGCGCGAATATAAATCAATCGATATCTAGGTTGGGCGGTATTGGCACCAACTGAATATAAATCAATCGACCATCTGGGTAGGTTGCGCGAATATTCGGCACCCACTGAATATAAAAAACAATCGACCATCTAGGTTGCGCGGTATTGGCACCAACTGAATATAAATCAATCGACCATCTAGGTTGCGATCCAACTGAATATAAAACAATCGACCATCTAGGTTGCGCGGTATTGGCACCAACTGAATATATATAAAATCAATCGACCATCTAGGTTGCGCGGTATTGGCACCCACTGAATATAAAACAATCGATCATCTAGGTTGCGCGGTATTGGCACCAACTGAATAATCAATCGACCATCTAGGTTGCGCGGTATTGGCACCAACTGAATATATCTGGCAAAACTGAATATAAATCAATCGACCATCTAGGTTGCTATTGGTTGAATATAAAACAATCTATCATCTAGGGTTGCACCAAATGAATATAAATCAATCGACCATCTAGGTTATAAAACAATCTATGATCTAGATATTGGCACCAACTGAATATAAAACAATCGACCATCTAGTTTGCGCGGTATTGGCACCAACTGAATATAAAATCAATTTGCGGTACCAATCTATAAATCAATCTATCATCTAGGGTTGCGCGGTATTGGCACCAACTGAATATAAATAAAACCATCGACCATCTTGGGTTAAATCAATCGACCATCTAGGTTTGCGCGTATTGGCACCAACTGAATATAAATCAATCGACCATCTAGGTTGCGCGGTATTCAATCTACCATCTAGGTTGCGCGGTATTGGCAACTGAATATAAATCAATCGACCATCTAGGTTGCGCGGTATTGGCACCAACTGAATATAAATCAATCGACCATCTAGGTTGCGCGGTATTGGCACCAACTGAATATAAATCAATCGACCATCTAGGTTGCGCGATATTGGCACCCAAATGAATATAAATCAATCGACCATCTAGGTTTCGCGGTATTGGCACCAACTGAATATAAATCAATCGACCATCTAGGTTTGCGCGGTATTGGCACCCACTGACTATAAAACAATCTATCATCTAGGTTGCACCAACTGACCATATAAACACCGATATTGGCACCAACTGAATATAAATCAATCAACCATCTAGGTTGCGCGATATTGGCACCCAACTGAATATAAATCAATCGACCATCTGACTATTGGCAAACTGAATATAAATCAATCGACCATCTAGGTTGCGCGGGCACCAACTAATTAAAAAACAATCCAACTGAATATATAAATCAATCGATCATCTAGGTTTATTGCGAATATAAATCAATCGACCATCTAGGTTGCGCGGTATTGGCACAAAATGAATATAAATCAATCGACCATCTAGGTTTCGCTGTATTGGCACCAACTGAATATAAATCAATCGACCATCTAGGTTGCGCGATATTGGCACCCACTGACTATAAAACAATCTATCATCTAGGTTGCGCGGTATTGGCACCAACTGAATATAAATCAATCGACCATCTAGGTTGCGCGATATTTTTAAAACAATCGACCGTCTAGGTTGCGCGGTATTACGAATATAAATCAATCGACCATCTAGGTTGCTGTAATATAAATCAATCGACCATCTAGGTTTCGCTGTATTGGCACCAACTGAATGTAAATCAATCAACCATCTAGGTTGCGCGATATTGGCACCAACTTAATATAAATAAATTGACCCTCTAGGTTGCGCGATATTGGCACCAACTGAATATAAATACATCGACCATGTTGGTTTCGCTCTATTGGCACCAACTGAATATAAATAAATCGATCATCTAGGTTGCGCGGTATTGGTACCAACTCAATCGACCATGTTGGTTTCGCTCTATTGGCACCAACTGAATATAAATAAATCGATCATCTAGGTTGCGCGGTATTGGTACCAACTGAATATAAATAAATCGACCATCTAGGTTGCGCGGTATTGTCACCAACTGAATATAAATAAATCGACCATCTAGGTTGCGCGGTATTGTCACCAACTGAATATAAATAAATCGATCATCTAGGTTGCGCGCGATATTGGTATTGTCACCAACTGAATATAAAACAATCGACATCAGGTTGCTATTGGTCAAAATAAATCGACCATCTAGTTGGTTGGTATTGAATCACTTTAAAATCAAAATCGGTCAAAAATATGGCATCATGGGGGCAAACTTCAAAAACAACAAAATCTCAGTTGTAATTGGAGCCCTTATAAAACAATCGACCTCGATTTATTGGAAAGAATTCCGATAGATTCAATGAAGGGATTTCTGGCGGGTAGTGCCTTAAAGAAATACAAAAAAATTTACTCAAAATTACAGCCTACACCTTCCAAAGGGCTTTATCTATGTAAAATATGTGTGATTTTAGTTTTTTCCTTAAAAAATGCCAGCGGAAAATGTCATAATGCCATTTCTGACCATAGGTCTCTGGTTTTGACTCGGAAAGTAATGAGTATATACCAGAAAACAAATCAAATCAAATTATAATAATAATAATAATAATAATAATAATAATAATAATAATTATTATTATTATTATTATAATGATACCTTCTTTGCAAGAAGTTCAAAAATAGTATTGACTGTGAGACTTCTGTCGGGATCCATACTGACCAAATGTAGTTGGTGATATTGTTATACTTTTTGTATGACTGACGAACGCAATGATAACCTATTTCTTGCCTCAGTTGCCTGGTTGGCAGTTGGCAGTTGGCAAGTAATGTACCAATAAAGAAACTTTTCAATAATAATAATAATAATAATAATACAACTGACCTGAAGTAACACAGAATTCCGAGGGCAAATACCAGTGCGACTGTAGAGACACCAAATCCACAGTGGAGGATGAAATTCATGACATTGAAATATTTGTATTCAGGATGCTGAAAGAAGCAAAGAAACATAAATTGATTTAAAAAAAAAGAAACATTATAGCTTTTTTTTGCCACACTTTCCAACTCATCCAACAATTCCAGCGTGAAAACTTCGATTGTTGTCGAAGAGCTAGTCACGTTAAGATACCACTCTTGAAATTTAATCAGGATTGTATTCACCATTTAAATACGAGCTAGAATTCCTTGAATTGTCCTGAAAAACTACAACAATTGGCGTGTAGAGGACCGTGTCGGCAATGTTGTTGAGTAGAAGTCGATGAATACACATGGGTTAAGATTTTCCTGCTAGACGGTCCAACTACATGAGAAAAAGGCAAAGAAAAACAAACACAAGACCGATAAATATATGCAAACAAATATATGTATTAATAACAAGAAAGGTTACAAGTTACATGGACAGTTACATGGACAGAGTGCGTGTGGTGAATATTATGTGTGTGTGTGGTGTTGTGATGAGTGTTCGTACGTACGTGTATTGTTCTTAGCGTGTTCCCAGAATTTGGGAAACGTTGTATCTGTGAGCGTTCACATCTGCTAGGTGGTATAAGGCTGAAAGCCTGGGGAAAAAGAAAATGTATAGTTTGGTATTCTTGAATGACGAAGAAGTTCGTAGAAGATATTGAACGGGAAAGATTTGTCGTATCGATTAGCGAGACGGTGAATTAGTAGTCGTCACATTTTTAAGCTTGAGTAAGCGGTCGAAAAATGGTCTGTTGCTGATCTGCCCAGGTCTGCGTCTCCGTCGGCTTCTGCGTCTGCCTCTGCTTGGTCACACGTGCTTTGGGTTCTTTTTAAGAGGTCATGATCACGGGGGGTGGCTCCAGAGCGATTTTGTGCCAAAACTTCGAAGTGCACGTGCTGGCGACCTGATTGGTAGAAATGAACCAATCAGAGGGCTAGATTTACGAATGAAATTTGGAATAGTGCATTACTCGAAGAAGGTAAGATTGGGCTAATAGACGAGCCCAATAGGCCTTCAAAGATACATGGAAACTAAAGAAGACTGGATGATGATCTGTGTCAAAGAACATGAAAGAAGTAAAAAAATTTATTCAGTAATAAAGGAGGCTAACAATTTCAAAACAGTTGAATAGGTGAGGAAATGCAAATAAAGCATAATACAACTGCAAAATATTTAAAAAAAAGGAAGCAAAGGCAAATGCAATCAGCCCGATACAAAAACGATAGCAGAATAAAACTCTTCACGGTCAATATTCTGACCATACCAAACAAGCTGATGTAGATAAACCCCGTGTACACCTCAGTGGGTATGTAGTGCAGGATTAAAAGTTAAAATCGATGTTTTCATTCTTGTGGCACAGAACCAATGCTTGTTGACTAAAAAATTATCAAGCACGCATACTGAAAAATTATGTTAAACCAAAATGCAGTTTCTGTAATAAATATCCAGAAACAATTGAATATCTTGTATCATGTATTGGCACCCACTGAATATAAAACACGGCATGACAGAGTGGGCCAATATCTGTATTTGAAAATCTACAAATGCCAGTTATGTCATCTTTTTGAATTCACGAAAGCACATTAGCTTACCTAAGACAATAGCGCCGTAGTTCGTTTCAAATTACTCCCTTGAAACATCACATACTTACTGTAGACCCCTTCGATTTTGTCAAATGTTAATTGCAATATTAGCCATTTCCTTATATGGAAACATTCGGCATTCATTGACTAATCAGATAGTGCTACTTTCAGTTGAGATTTTTAAAATCTTAAAACTATTTTTTTCTGGAAAATTTGCTTCTCACGTCACGTAACTGTTATCGTTCCTTCCAGTATTGATGGGGGCTTCCTTCCTTAATTCCCGTTTTGGGGCCCCAAAATTGATTTATTATTGAGCTTAAAGGTATATTAGACACCGCTAATTCCTAAAGATCAAGAGGTGATGTAAATGAGCCGTCTTGTGAACGCCGGTGTCCTTCTCGACGACTAGGGCCAATGAAAATCATCATCATCATCATCATCATCATCATCATCAGTCCCACGACCGAGTGTGGTCGTAGGGTCTCTGCGCATGATCAATTCCCTTCTTATGTCGCGGTTGCCTCTTCTTTTTTTGCCTAAGCTGGTACCTGGCAAGATGTCAGTGGAAAGATAGTTGGCTCTTATGACATGACCATACCATTTCAAATTTCTCCTGACGCTGATTATGAGGTCTTCCAACGAGCCTGTTTCCTGATGTCTTTCATTGCGTTATTTATAATGCAGTATACAATGCAGATGCATCGAGTGGTTCTGTAACATTGCATTTCTAAATCTTGAAGATTTTACTTTAATTCCAGTCTTAAAGTTCCAGATTCAGAGGCAGACAGAAAGATTGAAAATGCCAATGCATTCAACAGTTTGTTCTTTGAGCTGATTGATTGATTTTGTTTAGTGGCATATCAACATCTCTATGGGTTATTTAAACCAAAATCACAGAATTTTGAACACAATTTTATGGCTCCAAGTAAATATTTTGAACCCAATTGTATGCCTTCAACTACAGATAAAATGTATTTTCGGTCATTGCTTTATAGAAAAATGGTATTTTTACTATAAAATGTATTTTTATACTTTCATAGTATTTTGTTTTTGTTTGGGGTTCGATATTTGTCCCTAGCTAAGACCTTAACGGGTTTTACCACGCCAGGTCATAGTGGACCTGGGAACAATGCAAATTAAAAGATGGTTCCACGATCTGCAAAACCTCCAATCTCCCGAGATCTTTGAGTTAAGACAGATATTCTAGTCTTTCCAGATAGTTTTTAGTTTTGAAACATCTGCCATTCTTTGTTCTACTCTTGAAATTATTTATATTCTGGAAATCTCTTGGAGTCAAGATATTTGAATGCCTTCATTTTTCCAGCATTAATCACCGTGCCATATCTGGAAGATGTTTCATTCACGTTCTTCAACAAACTGATGAGTTCTTCTTGAGGCCGCCCTTTGTCGTCGGCAAAGTAAAGGGTTGCGAGTCTACGTCCCCCGATTCTGATTGTGTCCTAGGGTTACTCAAGCGCATCACTCATGGTTCGTTCAATGAAGATGTTAAAGTCGTAGATGACAGAATACATCTTTAGCGTACACCGAAGGACATGTGGAACCATTTTCTGATGGTTCCTTGGAGTAGTGCTCTGCCTTATCCTACGGCTGCTGCATAGTATAGATTAGCTTCTTACCCATGTTATATATTTATCTTTGTCTATAATGCCTCGAGTCACAGTCGCTCAAAGACTTTTTTCAAGTCCATAAAAACGTTGCAGAAGTTTAGCTAGGCATAAGGATACATTTCTCCGAATTTTATGCGGAAATATACTCGCAAGAAAAAAAATTGTTACATATACAACCATTACCTCTTTTAGAGGTCAGTTGATATAAAGGGTGTTTCATTAAGACGGATCAAAGTCACCAGTAAATAAATCAGTGTTATTTGTGAAAATTTCTTTATTTCTTTATTGAATGGTGTTGCAATTATGTGTGAAAAATAATACCGCCCCAAAGTTAAATTTATTTCACATTAATCGTCCCAAGTTTTTGGAACATCCTTAATATGAAGAGAAGGTTGCAATGAGCTGTTATCAATGTGACCAGGAATATTATTTGCTTCTCGTAAAAGTATTTGCACCCGATTTCAACTGTAACTATCACTGTTATGGAGTCATTGGGACTGTCTTCTCGATCATAAAATCCTTCCTAACAGTCCCTGTAGGTCTCTGAGGTTATTAATGGCCAGTCATCCGGTGTCCTACAGGGGTCACTCCTTGGACCAACCCTCTTTTTGATTTATATAAATGATCTGTCTGAGAATATACTAAGATCATTTTTAAACATCTATGCCGATGATACGACTGTATACGGGTGCACCTCTAAAATTCTCGGTATCCCCAGAATGATCTAACCCCGAAATAACACCAATCAAGATGAACGGAGGTCATCTCAGGGGAGTATCGTGTCTGGAAGGACTTTTGGGCCACAGATTCATACCCGACATCTAGCGGAACTCGTATATATAAGCCATTGCTAAGGATGTAGGTAAAATGGTCGGCTCTCTGTACCGCTCTAGTAAGTACCTGACTCATCCTCCAATCCTCTTCCTTTGTAAGAGCCAGATCAAGCCCCAAATGAAATACTTTTACCATATTTGGGCGGGAGCTGCCAGGCCTCACTTTCCGGCCTTGATAGAGTTTAAAAGCAGCCCCGAGCCCTTGTGGGTGACGAATTATTCTCCACCCTTCAGCCGTTCTGCCACAGACATAATGTGGAAAGTCTCTCGGTGCTACACCGCTACTTCTATGGAAAGTGCTCGGACGAGCTACATTCCCTGGTCCCGCCAAGTCAAGCCTTCACGGTAAGAACCATCGATATTCTCTCAATATTGCATAGGCGAGAAGTAAGTTCCATTCGAACAGATTCTTCCCACTGCCCTATGGAATCGTCTTCCAACAGGATGTTTCCTCGATCACTGCAATGTTAACCTATTCAAGGCTAGGGTTAATAATTACCCCACCTATGCACAAAAATGGCCTCCTAACATAACCCTCTACCTTGAGTGACTCCCGGGACTTTTAAAAGATGACTCTCATTGTAAAAAAAAAACAAAAAGCAAACAATCTTTTCTTACTTGAACCATGACAGCTGTCTTCCATTATGAAACACACCTATTTTGTCGCGACTCGCCCAATCAAGTTGTATTGACGTCAACCAACCTCTGACTATTTATACACAATGGCCCTCAGGGGAACAGAAATGATTATGAAACTTCGTCTTCGTTCTATTATCCAACAACAAGTTTAACAACGTTGTTTAAGTATCTAAGAATTACTTATAATATCGATTCATTTTTCTTTCCTGGTGTTTTCTTCATAGAACCAGGTTCAAGCCATCTCTTTTTTGCTTGCCATCAGTTTTTTGGCGCACGGTGGCCGTGAATGATAAAATATAACCCCAGACTTCAATGTTAAAATAAAACTGTATTTAATTACAACCGCAAATAAATACTTAACAAGAACAAAGAAGTAAAATTCAACCAAAGATAATTAACTATTTCAATAAATACCTTGTTAGTAGCGCAGCTCGACATTAACGTCCGGTAAAACCTAAATCAAACCCAAATAATCGACGCACAATAAATAACATTAATTCGATTGGATAGTTCCACTCAATAGTCAATGTTTTGTGATGTACAGTGGCCGTTAATTATCAAGTATAACTCAAGACTTCAATGTTAAGATAAAACAGTATTTAATTACAACCATAAATAAATACTTAACAACAACAAAGATGTAAAATTCAACCAAAGATAATTAACCATTTCAGTGAATACCTTGTTAGTAGCGCAGCTCGGCTTAACGTGAGGTAAAGCCTAAATCAAACCTAAATAATCGACGCACAATAATTCACACTAATTCGACTGGATAGTTCCACTCAACAATCACCAGTCAGTAGCCAGACACCGTTATTTATTGCCAATCTCGTACTACACTTAAATTTGTAAAGTGGAAGCATCCTAGAGGAAGGTTCTTTGGGACAATAACCATGATAATATTTATAAAAAAACGCGCATGAAAGCTACGTTACGGCGATGGATAAGTAACTGAAGCTGATAAGCCAGGTCAGGGCCGATAAAATTGCAGAATCTTCTTTGGAATTTGTCAAGAATAGCCGACACACGAGATGAGATGTAGAGCAATAATCAATGCATGGACATGAAAGATTCTAACGAGTATAATTGTGAAGAACCAAATTCCTTAGAAGCAGACCTAGCAATTAATTCAATAAAATCATTCCACATTATAGTGATTTTCCAAGCGTAGCTTAGATGTGGCACAAGGCCGAAAGTATAGGGCACCCAGGATCGAACTCACTACATAGTCGTAATTGTTCTAGCGAGACAAACTTTTAACTATTACACCGCCTCGAGGTGCCCGATCGTTCCACATCATATCAGCATAAAATGTTAACCTCAGGAGGTACAATGAGTCACTTTTCTGGAGGTTAGCATCGCCCATGTTGATGGCAGGCAAGAAAAATTCACTATGCAGGTGATTTTCATCTCTTTATGGCTTGTTGCTTTGTAGTTGTTTTTACTACATCCCTTTAGTCTTTTGTGAGTTTAATTTTTAGCTGTCATGATTAATCTCTCCTTAGAGTGATTTCAGCAGTCAGTAAATTCTTCAGTGTTGACAAGACCTTTTCCTTCACCTTTCCGTTTCAAATAAAGTCTATCTGCGTCATTTATCCGTTTCAAGACTTTATGTATTTTTATAATCTTCCATGTTTGTGTGGCAGCACTAGCAACTAACATTCTGGTAGCAATGTTAATAGCCATTGTTCAAGTATCTAATATCTACGATCTGGTTCAAAATTACAATCACCTGAAGAAAATCGGAACGTTCAACGGCTGAAACGTTGTGAATATGCAATGAAGATGTTAATGTAAATAATGCAAGTAATCATAATACCTCATCTCAGAGATATAGACAGATATAAAGATCGAAATAGCCATGAAGCCCGGAATGTAGAACGGCCGAAACGTTGTGAATATGGCAATGAAGATGAGGATAACAGTCCGAATAATGTAAATAATGCAAGTAATCATAATACCTCATCTAAGAGATATAGACAGATATATAGAGAGACATAGGCATAAAGGCCGGAGCGTACAACGGCCGAAACGTTGTGAATATGGCAATGAAGATGAGGATAACAGTCCGAATAATGTAAATAATGCAAGTAATCATAATACTTCATCTCAGAGATATAGACAGATATATAGAGAGACAAAGACATAAAGGCCGGAGCGTACAACGGCCGAAACGTTGTGAATATAGCAATGAAGATGAGGATAACAGTCCGAATAATGTAAATAATGCAAGTAATCATAATACCTCATTTTAGAGTTAAAGACAGACTAACATTTTTAGATCTTTTCTTTGTAGCCGGGCCCAAATAGTATTCAGTCGTGTTCATTGGTCTATAAAAAAAAAGTCTGAGAATTTCGATTTCTTCTCATCATTTTCAGGTGTTTTGTACCTATATTCTTCTTTTATCATTTTTTTTACCTTTTTTTTCAAACTTTTCCAATTAAAAATATCGTCAGTTTACTCCAATCCTGAAAAGATGAAATGGAATAAACATTAAAATAACAGTTTCTTTTCCACTTTGACCGATGACTCGTATATTGATAGACTGCAATACCGAAAAATCGAAGACAAAATTGAAGAATTGCTATTAAAAGCAAATATTCTTTATCTCAGATTGATCTAAATTGATTCAGAAATAATAAAAAAGTATGGAAAATCAACCGTACAAAGCCAGACAGCAGAGAAAATTTAATAAATTAAAATTTTAACGAACATGTAACTTTTGTTTGTGGCTTCATTAGAAAATTGTCCTTTATCAAAAGAAAACTCGACAGAATTGCAAACAATCTGAAAAACAAAAAGTAAAAATAAAAGGAAGACGCTATATCTGCCTGCGGCAAATTGCGCAACACAGTGTGGCCTAGGCTACCAGGGGATGTTTTTATTGAGCCACTATCTCCTTCTAATTATTTCACCCATAAATGGACGGAAGTAATCTGCATTCATACTTTTTCAAAGAGTATTTGTGTGAAAGGGAATGTAAAAAATTCAGCTGGAAATTCGATCTCGCTTTCCAAGTCTTTAACCGTTACACAACCCCGACAACAACAGTATGGCTTTTTTGTAAGCAAATGGAGGACAGAAGACTGTGAACATTACGTCATTCCATAAACGTAAACATTCCGGACGTTATATTCTTTGGGCTTCTTCATACCTATGTTTCACCTGATGCATTAAGTTGGATAGATGTTAAGATAAAAAAGGGTAAAGGAAGTTTAATGAGTTAAATAATAGTTTAGCAGACTATTATTTTTTAGAGAATTGTATTTCTGCTCTGACTTCCTCATTTTGACCTTTGAGGTCAGATACAGGAAAAC